ATCTGTAGGAAATAATGTCTAGTTATAACAAAAGAGATTTTATCAGCCAATGAGTGAAAATGAAAAAGCTGTGCACTGCTGCCCAACCCCTATGTATGAACAAAAACCAGAGATAAAGGAATTTTGGATATGATGAATACTAGAATGTAAACCCCATGTGCACAGTATTTTTATTCATTTGGTTCCTTAAAGGGACAGAGTGGCAAACTGCAGCCCATGAGTCAAATTGGCCAGCATGTTTCTTTGTACATGAAGCTTCATTGGAACACGACCATGATTATTTGTTTATATTACATGGATGGCTAATTTCATAGTACAATGTGTACGAGTAGTTGTAACAGAACATCAATGGCCCATGTCAAAGACTGAACATATGGCTCTTTACCAAAAGTTCACCCATACCTAATGGGGAATATCCCCAGCTCCAGGAATAGTAACTCATAGATCACAGATCAAAAAAAAAACACACAAACACACACACACATACACAAACCATCCTTAAATAAAATTACCAAATACAAACATATTACTACTATTTCCTTAAGAAAAAATAGAATGAAAAACTTCTAAATGCCACAGATTAGAGAATAAACATGGGGGCTGGGAGCTCAGGGTGTGGGCTCAAGTGGTAGAAAACTTGCCTAGCAAGCATTAGGTCCTCAGTTCAGTCCCCTAGTACTGCAAAAGAAGAATAAACTTAGATGTATATAAGTTGAAATGTCCATTACAGAAAGATACAAAGCAGCAGCCTGTGCTTAACTGAGACTATGTTTTAGTCACACCTGTTTCCATAGGAGAAAAGATTTGGAAGCTTAACTATAAAGTAGATTGCAGAGCCTGAGTAAGAATAATAAAAACCTCTCCATCTTTAACACTTTCTAATTCAAATAATTTACTCATTATTTCCCACCAAACCATGCACTTGTATGTAGCATCTTCCTTCTATATACCCTCCTCCTGGCATGGCTGTCTTTACAGAACAAAGTCATTCGGATAAGTCCCATATGTCCTTCAAAAAATGGGTCAAGTTGAATTGCTTACCTGAGGGGTTACATAATACCCAATACATAACAAACCTACTTCTCCTAAACCCCTATGGCACTTGGCACACATCTTGTTACATACATATCTCTCAGAGAAGTCCCTCAAAACCAGATACAAATATTTTATTATTTTTTAAGTGCCCTGACCCTATTTCAGTAAACAATTTTCTATCTTGCTTTGTACGTACTTGCTATGCATGGACTTAACATGATATTATAACCATTTATCCATTTCATAGGAAAGTTTCAGGAAACTCATTAAACATTAGGCAGGCCAGGAGATGTCATTGCTAATCTACTATTATTTTCAAATTTCTATTATAGTTTTTGAAACAGGGTCTCACTATGTAAGCCAGGCTGGCATTGACCTCAAGATTCTCCTTCCTCAGTCTCCCAAGTGCTCAGATTACAGGCATACACCCTCATACTTCTTGGCCTGTTGTTTTGTTTTTAATCTAGCAATGACATAGCTAATGTGGATAGTTATGGGAGAATTTGTTTCTTTGCTGAGCAAGTTTTATTAAGTCTTATGATCCAGTATCTATGCCTAGGTCCTAGAAATATATATGATACATATAGGATGTACAGGAATGGGTAAGGAACACCAGCATCAAGGGGAAGATAATACTGTCTCTGTTTCTATTTGTCTTCAGTTCTAAGTATCAAGAAGAGGTCACCCAGAAGTCACCCAAGGAAAGACTGGGAGAGGAACTCATTGTCACTGGCACATCATGCAATCTACTCCAGAAAACAGCCTATGTAAAGTGGGGCTGGCAAGATCCTTGTTTAGAAAAACAATTGTTCATCATGGATTATAATAGCTAAGTGACTTTAAAACTCTCTCTAACATGGATTTCACAAGTTTAAATTGCTATTTTCCTTAATTACACATGACATCTGAGGTAGTCTTCAGGGTATTCCTTCTCTATACAATATGTGATTATTATTTGGAATAATAACCTGGTACTTTTTGACTTTGAAAACCTAAGTGAAGGGTTTGAGGCATGGCTCAGGCAGTAGTAGATGCCTGCCTAGCAAGTGCAAAGTCCTGAGTTCAAATCCCAGGTGCCGAAGGAAAAAAAATCCAAATGACAAAGCAATACTGATAGCTATGTGTCACTTTTATTTAAAAAAATTAAGTATTAGTAAGAGTTATTAAATTGGTTACATTACCAAAATTGAGAAGGCCCATGGATGATTGGAATTTTGTAGCACTGAAGTTATTCTTGGAGATTTCAACTTATGTACCATGAACATGTATTCTTATATTCCCACTAGATATATGTGCAATTTCTTCACAAGTTCCACTCAATTACTTCTTTCTGCTATACTGCATCACTTAATGTGCCTTGCAACCACCATGGAGTTGCTGCACTCCCTTTATAAACTGCTATCACATTCAAACTCACCTTCCACAGAAAGCCAGCTTCACTCACCTAATCCAATCAATTCTTCCTCAATAGGCTCAGATATCACCTATGGTATAGCTATATCAACATTTACCACACAAATTATGCAATTGTGTGATTTTACAGCTATCATTCCATCCAGACTGCAAATCCTTACAGGAAGACGGTGCCCCATTCCTCTTTGAATCCTAGCACCTAACAAAGGAATCATCTTGCGGTATGTGCTTGGAAGGGTTTCTGACTGATGGAAAATAACCTGCTTTAAAGCACTTATGGGTGTGTCTGGGCTCCTGAAGATGAATATCTACGAATCTGAGCAGCCACCTGTTGGTTCCCTCCCACTGTCCACCTAACCTTTAAGAACCACACCTATCAAGCCCATGTGGAAAACTGAAGACAAAACACAAAAGTTCGATGAAACCAAAACATTTCTGTTTCCACATGAAAACTGGTCACATTGAAAGGGGCTTATAAAGGATCTGTTTTCCTTAAATCAAAATCTTTGTCCTTTATACAGGAAAACTGTCCATGATTTTGATTGTCAAGTTAATAGGAATTAAAAATGACTCACCATAGAACAACTTCTAGCTCTGCAACAGGACACCTTGTTTACTTCAAGGTGTTCAGTGTGTGAAAACTCAGTGCTATGGTACCCCGTAATTATGGTGAGTTAGGAAATGTCCCCCTTTGAATTAACCTGTCTAGCAGATTTATTTCTCTATCTTATTCTCCTTTTGCTTTAGGCTCTTCATTTGTTTACTTTATCCTAATAGCCTTTCACACTGAGGTAGGAAATGTGTAATAAATGACAGAAAATAACATGTTTGTAATTAAAATACTGGTTCAAAGTTGATTCAAACACATCTTATTTGTGATAAGCTATGTTTTACAGGAAGTTTAAGGTATAGTAATATTGGCAAGCTATAAGCCATACATCTTTTACCTTCTTGCCTTTTTTTCCTATCATGAAAACATTTTTAAAATTTAACTTTTGAGATCATTTTAAACATTTTTTAAAAGAAAATAAAGGCAAGGACTCCTGTGAAAATAACTAACATTGTTTAACCGAAATTCTTTGAAGAAATTTTAATGCTTCTCCAGAAATTAAGAAAAAATGATAATAAAAGAGAGACAGAGGGGAAAATGAAAGCAGCTGCAACTCTGTGCATAAAACTGGACTCAAAAATTTAAGCTGAATTTCACATCATGGTATGAAGTACTTACTCTAGCTGAGTTCAAAGTAAATCAAAGTTTCAACTTCAGGACATTCCAGAATCTGTATGCTTTACCAAAGCAATAAAATCTAGACTTGTCACAGTTATTAATGTTTAACAGGAAGGTGGGAAAATTGCTGAAATACTGCTATCAAGAAATAAAATGCATATTGAATCATACACTTATAGTTTATACTCTATGATGTGTGTTCTAGGCTCTCAGACACCGTTCTAGGTTCTCGGTCACTATCCTAGATTCTCAAGGTTGTAGCATCTCTCTTGTTCCAGTTCTCAATCGCCATTCTAAGTTCTCAAACACTTTCTCTTCTAAGCTCTCAGGCACTGCTCTGGTTTCTCAGTCACTGTTCTAGGTTCTCAGTGTTCTAACTCTCTTGTCATCATTCTAGGTTCTCGTTCATTATTGTAAGTTCTCAGACATGGTTCTAGGTCCCCAGTGAATGTTCTAGGCTCTCAGTAATTGTTATAGAGTCACAACCACTGTTCTAGTCTCTCAGCCACTGATCTAGGTCCCTAGTCACTGGTCTAAAGGCTACTTTCCAACCTCCTCCACTTTTTACTCATGAAAAGAAAATTTAAAGGGGAAGCTTGGAATGACCTCCACTTAGCTATAACAGAAGCCCACTAGGTATTAGTGGCAAAATTAATTCACACTACTTAAATACATCAAAACAAAAAATGCGATGGTTCTTTCATAGAAGAAAAAAGGCACACTCAAGGAAATTCCTACAGCACTTGCGGTTTTAAAGATGCATGCTGTGTTCAGTCCTGAGGCACACACAGAATTTAGGACATTTCGAGTGTTTGGAGATTATCTCCCATTGCTCTAAAGTTTCAAATTCAAAGAGTTTTTAAAAAAATAATTAAGGTCTTATAAAATTGAAGAACCAAACATCCATAAAGACAAATTTAAAAGTAATCATCACAAAAGTTATCTAAGTAATTTTTATTGGATGAATTTTTCCAGGTAAGTGCAATAAGCTATCCCTAACTTTGCAATTCCAGGTAGAGTTCTGACTCTTAAGTCTATCATCAATTTACAGCAAAGTCAAATGTTTAATCAGATGTAATGAACAATAAACATATTTGGAAGTTAAAATACACTATTGATTCCTATGCCTGCAAAACCTCTCTTCATTCGGCTAAGTGCCTTCTGTGATTAGGGCACGTAAGATAGGAATGAAATAGCATTTGCCCTCAAGTGAAAATGTCTTCCATTAAGCATATGCTAAGTCAACACCACTCTTTATCTGAGCATCAATGAAGATAAAACACTCCACATTATGATTCAATTAAAAACCTCCAAGATACGTTACCTGCCGCCTCGAGCACTGAAAGGCACTACATGGATTCCCAGAGGCCCTCCATCGTTGGGGACTTGTACGAGCTTTACCATATCACTGTGAGACAATGATGAATGAGGGAGCATGAACATGTACTGTAAACAAACCAAAATCGAAACCAAAACAAACAAAAACCGCCACAACACAGACACACAAAAAAACAACAAAAAGAGAAAAAAACACAAGCCCCACCAGGCACACACGCATATACATATATATTTGGGAATTTAAGCATGGTGATGGAGGCAACACCAAAGTCTACATACCTGAACACTAGTCTGATGGCATGGGGGGAGAGCAACCACCAGAAATAACTACATTAAGAATGACACAGAAACATTTCTCCTGGACCATCTCTTCAGAATAAGATGAGTTCATGCTTTGCAATCAAATCTCTAGACTTCCACTGAAAAATTCTACCCTAGGATTTATTTCAAAAACTTTAAAGATCAGCTGAATGAAGGGGTTGCAGCTACACACAGCACTTGATAATTTACAAAGTGCTCTCATGTATGTCACATCATTGATCCTCGCAATAATCCAGTGAGGTCAAGTTTCAATAATCCAAGTTTTCACCTGCAGGGGACAGTCCAGAGGCAATCCCCATAGTCTGCATTGTTCATTCTTCTATAATGAATCAAAGTCACTATTTTCTAAACGGCTATGAGAACACTGCAAGTGTGGGGCATGACGCTCCATTCTCCAATACGAAGGCACCCACCGAAAATCAAATAATTGTCCTCAGTGTTTGGAATTGATCTTTAAAGTTATGAAGTTATTTATATCACAGGAAGTAACTTCTTTTAAATAACTAAAGACTTTTGTGTAAGGAGCAGAGCATTCTACGTATTGTTCAAGCCACTTTCATAAATCTTCACTACTATATTACCTGGAGTTTAATAAAAATAAGTATAGTTTGGAGAATGTAAAATTATAAACTATATAAGACATTTACATTCATTGTAGATTTCTGCATATATACATACTGTAACAGAGGCCTATGCTATCAATATTTGGAAATGGTACTTCAATTAAATATCTACCGTAAGCAACCTGAAAACCATAAATGACTACCAGTGGACTTGGCAAAAATCACAATATATAGTTTTTATATAATGCAAAAATGCCAACTTTTCAACAGTATTTCTCACATAAAACCCTGAGGTTATCTTATATAGTATGACTGCCTGACTTATGTAATATAAAGACTAAATATTATATTATACAAATATACAAATCAAAAGAAAATAGAAAATGTGAGTAATGCTTAATCACACATACTAATTAGGGCAAAATAAAAATTTGAACATACTGCTAAAATATTTCTAAAATAAAACTACCTAAAAAGATTCTTTAATTTTTAAATTTTTCATAGACTTTAACAAAATCCTACTTTAGACACTTTATTTTCAACAATTGGCTTTTCAGCTAATAATAATGTAACTTTCCACATTCTTTCTTAAAAAAAAATTCCTTCTGCAGGGTAAGCATATCTTAAATGGAAACACTCCAATCTGATTAATCCCAGCACAAAGGTTCTTAGAGCTTCTCTTGGAAGACCAAGAGAAGACAGAATTAAGTATATAAATGTTAATGTCTATACCCAAACTTTTATCCAAAGTCAAAGACAAAATCTGGAATGTCTGCCCTTCCTGCTTCAGGGCATCCAGGGAAAAGGTCTTAGAAAACCTTCCATTTTCAATATGCTGTTATTTAACACAACTGGAAAGTAGTGACAATATAGGAAAAAATTTTTCTTTATATCTAAAATAATGTTCAAGTTACCTAACCTATGACCTCCTACTTTTGATCAAGTACCTTGAAAGATTCTGATTCTTCAGTGTATAAATGTATATACACATTACTACAGTGACCAGTGCTTACGTGATCCACCGAGTTTTTCAAGTAAAATAGGTATATCCACATTATTTTTTAGTTTAGAAAAGCTGAGGAACAAACAAATGACCAAAATACCGACAAACAAAGCAATCTGAAAACAACTACCACGTTTACAGTACTGTTAACATGACAAACATGTTAAATCAAATACTACTTTAATATTCTAATTTCATAGTATTTGCCAAGGCATGAAACTCAGGACAAGTACGTGGGAAGTTCCATGCTATACTGTTTACATTACACAACTCAACAGATGAAAGATGCTCTTTGGAAAAACAAAGGGCCACAAGGCATATTTTTTAACTAAGCACAAACATTCCGCATGCCATATGCTCTTGGGATATTTGCTGCAATTAATGATGCTACATGTATATTATAAATTTAGGTAAAACCATCAGCAACTTACTCCAGAGAAAAACTGGGCATATTCTCCAAACCAGTGTCAGCATGTCCAACTGGCTCGACGCGGCTGCTGTCTTCTGTCCCATCCTCGTCCTAGAAGTAGGGTGACACAGACAGGCACTCTGTTAGGCTTGTGTCTACAGTGTGGAGGGGAGCTGAATAAAAGTGGAGCCTGACAGGCATCACAGCCACTTTAACTAGGTTTTTCCTCTAAAGAAGATGGCCTGTAATGAAAGACAGGTATGCGTACATGAAATCTGAATTTTAAAGTCTCCTGAGTCGGCCTTCCTACGAGGTGAACAAGATACTACAGGAAAAAGGAAAGAAAAATAAGCTTGAATTTATGCCAGTTTTACTTCATTTTTTGGCTATTTTAGGAAGCAATCATATTACTACAATGTTATATTAGTAAATAAATGCATGTGGTACTTGGGGATGCATGCAGATCAAAATAATTGAGACTATTACAAACTACTCCCAAAACCTTGAGGTATTTGTCAACCTTTCAGTTCCTACTAACTCACCTTGTCAAAAAGACCTGCAATGGGTACATAACAGACACAAAAGCCCTCATCCTGAGAAATTTCATATAAAGGTACCCTAACCACGGGCGCCTATATGATGCATCTGTAGAGATATGCAGGATTTACATATAAAGAATCTCATCTGTTTACTTCCATGTATCAAGGACCAAGCATAAGGAAAGGTACAAACAGCAATGTAACCTACCCCCACCCTGTATTCTACCTTAGACTAAGACATTATTTTGTAAAAATACGTTCCAAGGTGTTGTGGACATTGGGTGCGTATGCTGGTATGCCAAAAGGCACATGTGGAATAAATGTGATGGTCCATCAAAATAAATGAAATGCCACCTAAGAATATTTCTTAATTTATAATCTTAGTTGTTGTCTTTTCATTGAGGATTTAAATTGGCTTTCCAAGATCATTTGAATAATGATAAACATGCCTGACTGAGATCAATGGTCCTGTTAACCAAATATGATTAAGTAAAAAAGACTCAGATCTTCCAAACACAAGGGTTATGAGGCTCATGTGTACTTTGCCTTGAATGCAAGGTGTCTGGCACCCATTAATCACTCCAGGAGTCTCTGGGGAAGTCCAAAATCAACTAAGTGTATATTTATTTAATCTACGTTAGGCCTACATCTAATTGTTGTGTTTAATTATTGCTATCTTAGAAATTTGACAATGATTTTATTGTGGATGTGATAATCTACTTACATTAGGAAAAAGTCTACCACTCGAGGACAATTTTATAATTTTACTCATGATTTGAGAGATTCAAAGTAGAAGTGTATATGTTATCAACAGAGATATCAACCAACAAAATGATAAGCAAGAGCTATAGGTTCAAGACAGAAATAAAAACAAAACAATCTATTAAATTACTGAAGGGAGATTAAGGGAAGGTAGAGCCGTTCATAACGTTCTATGATTATTTTGTCTGACAATCTACCAAAATAAACAGCAGAATGCACCAATCTTTTCTAGGAGTTGTAGACATACCCTGTGCATCCTGGATGGCAGTGCACTGCATGAAGCCTGGCTACTTCAAGATTGATGATCCTGTGTTTTGAGAGGCTCTAATATGTACTTCTTAGTCATCTATCTCTCTTAAGCACCAGCACATAGTACATCTCAAAGGTTAACAGCATTTTGAACCTATCTAAGAATGGCACTTTGAATGTAAACATCAACTCCCCAAAGGATGCTTTTCCATTGGGAGTAGGGGCAAGGAGACAAGCTAACACATTGCTTAAGCCAAATGTCAGACACAAAAATAATCGTACATGTTAAGGACATTTTGTTTCAGGATTCATTTATAATTTAAGCTCCACTAGAATCCCACCAAGATGTATCGCCAGCTGAAACACCTATGTGGCACTATGAAGCAGCCACATAAATGAAAGCTCCCAACTACAGTGGTGCAAGACTGACTGATAATTTACACATGTGCTGTTCCCACAGTGGCCATCATCATCCTCCCCCGAGCATGCAGAACAGGATCTCACCACTCCATTTGTATTAAAACATCTGCTGCCCTGAGGCTAAGGTGCAGTTGCCGTAGGAACCACAACTTAGACTCTCAATTTTTAGGTGTAGAAGTATCAGCTATAATATGGTTTTATTTTGTTATCTGGTGCTGTTTTAAAGTTAGGACTGAACATAGTTACTTTTAGAAAGATTTACATGCTGAATTCCATTGTAACCATATTAAATGAAACTCAGTTATTACATGTGTCCAATCAATATTTAAGAACTATAGTACAGGGTGTTAAAGAATTTCCAGATAGGACAAAAGATCTTTTCTCTTGTCCCGTCTTCAACAAGGTCAGGTTTTATAGCCTTAGACAAGTTGCCTACCCTTTCTGTCTCCTCTCAGCACTAGTGAGAGAACTAACATAATTCACACCACAGTACAACATGGCACCTAGCACACGGCAACTGCCAAATAAAGGCAATTTATAAATACTGATGAAAACAGAAGTTTATGTATACAACATACCTTGAAACATATTTTGGGCAGTTATATACAAATAATACATTTTAAGAGTACCTGTTCATCCATTCATACTCAGCATACTTTACAAAAAACTTAATATAAACATATTGCCCTTCCAATTAAATTTAAAAATTCTATAATTAAGAAACTCACATAACACCTGATTTTTATCGTGCTTTGCTGTTCACAAAGTGTTTTCATTGTAAAATGATTTGGGAATGAAAAAAACAAATCAAGAAAAAGAATAAACAACTAAATGCAATATATGGTCAAATGAAAGAAGAAAACACTGGATTAATGGCTGAAGAAATTTTCAAAGAAAAAGCAAATGTAACTGTGAAACACACTGTAATATGTATGCTTATTGTATCACTAAAAGAAAACTGTATTAATAATAAAAAGAACCGAGAAAGGTCTCTGACTTTAGCCCTCTTCAAAGCTGCAGGTGAGCATGGCATGCCTTCATGGATGCTGGAAGAAGTTGTGCAGGACTCAATGCAGACGGAAACTCACAGCAACACCATTAGCCAGGGAAGCTTCTCCACAGGCAGTGGTTCCTCAAGCAAGAGTTCATGGGAGTTGATGTGAAGAGGGAGGGGACACTGGCATTTGGAGAAGGACCCTGAATTTGGGAAATTCAAGTCTTTTTAATAGTAAGTATGCTTGCTTCGTGCTACAGAGGAAGATACTATGCCTACTTTCCAAAGCTGTGTGTTACATAAACATCCTTGAAACAAGGCCTCTGTTCACAAGTTATGTACAGAAATGCAAGGGACCCACACAGAATGATCTCTCAGCCACAGAATGGAACCAAAGCACTGACAAATGACCACATGTGGATGATCACTAGCAAATGCCCTTTGATAACCATGCCTCATAGATGGCAATGCTAAATTCTAAAGTCTATCTTCACAGTAAAAGAAGTTTATTAGTCTGATATGTTTGAATATTTGGGAAAAAATAGGCACTCTGAAAGCTCTGATAAAGAATTAAAGGGGAACGTAATTAAAGATATACATTAAGAAAACAAAATAAATGTTTTAAAAGTCAAAGAAGTTAACCTTAAGAACCAAAAAGAAAATGAAAACATGTAGAAGAATTTAATCAGAGCACCTATTTGGTTATACAGTGAGCAATTCTTACATTGCCTTGTATGCCTTATAATGTGATGCTGGCTACTGACTGAAGGGTGTGTGTGTGTGTGTGTGTGTATGTGGACACATACACTAGAGATTGAACCCAGGGCCTCACGTGCCATATTAAGCACACACACTCTACAACTGAGCTACAACCCCAGCTCTGAACACACTTTTGCTGAAACACTATTGAGAGTAAGGGAAAGGAAAGAAGAAGTAGCACAAAAGGAAAAACTTTAATATTTCATACTGGAAAGTCAACAGATGTCAGCAACTGGTATTCAGGGAAAGAATGTCATAAATGTGTTATTTAGAAACACGGAAATGCATACCAGAATGAATATCTGGGGAGAATGTCTACAAGACTGGCAGAAGGTTACTCTACACTTAGCCTTTTAGTATTAGTTATTTTGATTCTGAGCACATATGTGATATTCTTGCCAGTGGTAGAAGGACTTTTTAGGACTAACCAAACATCTAGCATCTCCAGGCTCTTATAAGCTACCTGGCATCAGACTTACTGTTAAGGATGGAAGGCAGGAAAATCTTCTTGCCAGCAAGACAGTGCCCTGCTTTGAAATTGGGGGAGATGTACTTCCAGCACTCCTCAAAGCTATCCAGTGCTACTCTCCTGGGACCCCAGCTGACAGCTCACATGTAGGGAAAGGGGCTCACATAGGAGGTTGCATGAACTACCCTGGCTTATAAACCTCATACTCCACCAAAGCCAGTGTCTCTTCTAACAATGCCGTATACATATTTTACCAATCAACAGTCACTTTTACCATAAAATGACTGTTGAACCATTACCTTTATAGGTTCCCATAAAAAGGAAACCCAAAACAGTCAAAATTTAATTTCTCATGCAGAAAGCAGAATATAGTTTATTAACTCTTTACATGAATATATCATTAAAAAATAAAGGAGGCTAAGTAATCAAAGAAGAGAAAAGAATGAGATGTTAATAACTTTGACCTAAATTTGTTCCTATTCTTGGGCAGTAAGGTTTGGCCCCAAGGGACCACCGTACATTTTGAACAACAAAGTAGCTTGATGTAGAAGCCTGTTTTAACCTACCCAAAGAGTTCCCCTTCATACCTAAGCAATTGAGCCTCAGCCAATCATGGTAGTCCACCCCTCAGCTAATCCCAGGCTGAAGGCTGACAAATTATGCCCAAATAATGCAAAGGTAGAATTGTACCAATCAGCCAATCTCTGTACTTTCTTTCTTTTCCTTGTTATGAAAATAGCTCCCCAGCTTCTAAGAAGGGTGATCAGAATTGACATTTTTTCTGGGTCTACTTTAACCCCCGTTTGAGTTCTAGATATCTTCTCCACAGTCATACATTTCAAAAACAAACAACAACAAAAAAAACCAACTGGATGCAAGTTCAACACTGTATAAGTAGTAATGCGAATAGTTAAGATTT